AATATAATTTAACCAAGTTTTACTTTTACCATTTAGACATCTGTCTAAACTCTTGATTTCGTCCAGCAACCTTACTTATGATAAAGTAGGTCAGATTACCTATCTTTTTTGTTTTAATATTGTGGATGTGGCTTCAAGATATAAAGTATCTATTCCTATTAGTGCATATAGTGTTAAGGATAGGCAGGGGATCTTAACTTCAAAGACTATTGCTAGAGTTCTTAATGTAATATATGATGATCCTGATTGTCCGCTTATTTGGCCGAAAACATTTTTGACAGATAAAGGTCCAGAATTTAAGGTTGACTGTGAGAAATTAATGAGAGAGCATGGCATAAAAATTCAAAAGGCTGAAAATAAAAATACTATGTGCATTGTTGAAAAATTTAATGGAGACTTAACAAAAATCTGTTTCTACTCCAGGATGCCTCTGATCTATTAACTTTACACATGAATAAGATATCCCGGGTTTGGGTAAATAATCACCCTATAGTTGTCGAATATATTAATGATTCTATTATATACCAACTTGGTATTTCTCCAACTGTAGTAATAAAAAAAGAAGAGGTCTTTACTAAGCCTTCTTATCCTCATGATGGGCCTATAGAATTTGATGAAGAAAAGCTTTCCAGTAATATTCTTATAAGATATTTAATAGATACTCTTGAATTAGAGGGTGGGAGATGTCATGCTGGTAATTTAAATTGGTCCCCACATATTTATCATATCTGTCAATCTATAGTATAAAAAAATCAACTGGTCCTATACTAGCTGAAAGAAGTCCCCTTTGGGTTAATTGATGATGATGATTATGTGTTAAAATGTCCTAAAAGATTCTTTGTGGCTAAAGAATTGATGATTATTTCTTATGATACAGAATTGCCTTCCCAATGGGTTCTCACAAATTAAATTTCTAAAGTGATGATAGGAAGTCTTCTGTTTCTTTGTCAACTTATTTATCAGTAATAAAAATAATCATTGGCTAATTTATAGTATAATTTATATAATTTCATGATAGCATTAAGAATCTTTGGATCCCGCTCATAGTATTCTTTGTAGTCATCTTTGACTTTATGATATTTAGCTTCATTAGAGAATATGATCATAGCTAGTTTGAGAACATATTCTTGTAGATCCTCTGCTTGGCGTAATTTTTTGATTCTTTCTTTATATGATTACATAAATTTGCCATCTTTTAGTTATTTATAATATATGCCAGCCTTGACTACATTTACTAATGCCTGCTCTACTTCCTAGTATGTGGGTTTAGTATCAGATAATTGAATTTACGTACTCATTATGTAAGAAAGTATATCTGCCGTTCACTTTTCTATATTGCAGATAATTTTATTTAATTAAATTTTTTTATTCCTATTATAAATGATAGTATCTTATACTTGCGACTATCTTCATAACTTTAGCAAAATTTGTGATAAAGCCTGCATTCGATTTGAAGGATTTCGGTAATATTGGAAGACTAAAAAGCGCTATCCTTATACTGATTGTGGCAATCTTACTGCTACAGCTTATGGACGGTATGCTGAATATATTAGAGAATATTATATAACACAATATTATAATAAATTGCGGGATAAGGCTCAGTGATTAGACTTGATAATAGGTGTGACTTAGAGGTATGCATTTTAGGCTTCTTTTAGCTTTTCATTTTGATTTTTTCCGCACTTAGAGGTGAGACTTGATAATAGATGCGACTTAGAGATGTGATTTAGAGGTGAGACTTAGAATATGATATGCATTTTAGGCTTGCATAGTCAAGCCCAGCTCAAATTGCGTCATTTTGTTTCTTGATTTTTGATGATCCCTCTAGAGGCAAACAGAATAGTAAAAAATTTTTGATATATTATTTGATATTAAAATCAGGCTAGAATGGTTATATCAAACAGTATAATTCTTGATATCTGAAGGTTAATTCTAAGCCAAGTTCGATATCATCATCTAGAATTGAGTCAAATCATGCTAGAGGTTTAAATTTGATAATGGATTTGAATAGCTAGAATTGATTCGAAAGTGATTTGGTGAACTGTTCCAGAACCCCCTTTTTGACCTATATTAAATTTTTCTTGAAAATATAAGTTTTATAACATAATTTTTATGAAAATTTAATGTATCATATATATTTTTATCATCAGGTAACAAACTTAAACTTAATATGAAAAAGTGAAAAAAAATATACTGATTTAATATAAAAAATTTAACCAAACATCTATGTAATATTATGTATATAATATATTGATTAAATGTATAAATTCAATATTTTTTCTAGATATGAAAAAAGGCAATTTCAATATTTAGTATGAAAATATTTACAAATTCATTATATTGTTTTTCTACGTATGTTATATAATTTTTAAATGTATTATTTTTTTATATTTTTCTTATACAGATTATTTATAAGAAGAAAGAGAATCTATATAGTATTAATTCTTATTTTATGTGATATTTTACAGTAAGAAAATTTGCATTATATTTTAGCATTGATATCATATTATAGATGTGAAAAAGAAATTAGCAACATAATTTTGCTGAGATGAATAATATGAACAAATGGTTTATTTCTTGTGATTCATCCCAACATCAAGAGTACTTAGTTGGTAAAAAATATAATTTGAATGCTGATTAAAGAAGTGATTTGTAAATCATATTAGCATTAAATAGTCTGAATTACTTTTGTTACTATATTTTGATCTAATTTAATTTTTAATGGTCAACCCAAATTGATTCTCAGGGTAATACAAATTACAAAATTACATCTAAATTTGGAAATTTTTAATTTTCAATTTTAAGTTGATTTTTTCAAAGCATAGCATAGCTAATAATTTATTAATTTGTGATTATTATGATGCATAATTAACAATAAATAAAGTTCTGTGAGAAAAAGCTTCTATTTTATGAAGCAAGCATATTCAATTAATGAAGTGAAAATTAACTAACATTAGTAATCCGATCTATTATGCTTTTTGCATTAGTCTTTCATTTATAATGATGATATGAGACTATTGTTGGTTATTTGATTAGGAACGCAAAACAAAACCAAATGTAGATTTTAACCGACCACGTGACTTTATATTTGTCAATCATTATATGAAGGGAAAAATCATTAATTTTGACGCAAATCGAGAATAAAATAAGTCTATGTATTTGTAGATTTAAGGTTTTCAAACAGTTAGCTAAAAATCTATTTGTTAGAAAAAAAATTTAGCAATTATATAAGTGCTGACCTTTAACATTTTAAACGTTCTGTATTAAAATAGTAATATTATAGCACTAGATTTAAGACGCACGAGAAATCTTTGCGCAATATTGCAATAATGATTTAAGCATGTCTATTTAAAAATATTTAATATTCGGGGAAGGGTTAGTGTAAATTATGTGATATCAATCTCATTTATAAATCTACCTTTAGTTATAAGTCTGATGATGTTCAATGCTTCCTACAAGATTTCGTTAATGAAAATTGAATAGGACCCATATATCATTATTATAGTGGAACGGGGAATCTTTATGTGTTTGGATTTGAATTCTCAACGACTTCAAATTAAATATTATTAGTAATTTTGAAGAAAAGTATCACGATGATTACTTGATCATAATCATTCAATTTTTATTGTTAAAGTTTAATAAATAAATGAATTATATGAATGATTTTAATCAGTCACTTTTTCAATATCAAAATTAATATATTACATAGATGAGTGAGTTGCGAAAAGGGACCAAGTTGGAAAAAACCTTTTTTAAAAATAATTAAAGTTCTGAATCAAAATGATAGAAGCTAATAATTCACTTAGAAACAATTTTTTGAAAAAAATTTCAATTTTGGTCTCTTTTCGCAGCACTCACCCCATATATTCTCAACCAGAATACTTCGGGACGTCCCTTATTCAACAAGCATTGCATTGCCTTAAATAAAAAAAAAATAAAAGAAAAAAGGAAATTTGTCAAAATTGGATATCGACGATCATCCTAACAAAACTTACTATTATATAAATCATGCTCGTCTGATTCAAACGAGTTTTGTCTTTTAATGCTATTTATTATTTAATCAGAAGTGATGTTAATGATGTTAAGTTGAATTCAAATTATCACTCATAAACTTGTTGATACGTGCCTAGAATTAATCCTGCTAAGGATTGCTTCAATTTCTGTCCTATACCACAAAAACTTTTGACCCTTCTTCTAAATTAACAATTCGATTTATTAGATTTATTAAAGTTAAACGTTTTTCATTATATTATTTATATTATTAAAAAAAATGTTACTTTATAATCCCGCTTTAAGTTCTTCCATTTAATTTCACATTGATAAGGGAAACACAAAAAGCTTTTTTCTCGCAACGCTTCCGAAGCTCCATACCAGAGAGATAATCTCACTTTATTAGCTATAATACCACGACTGTCTAGTTGTATGACGTAATGTTAGCACTCAAATATTCAAGCAAAAGTGAAATTTGTTTGTCATCCCAAACTTTTGCTAAAAGTAAAAAGGTAAAGTTTAATGGTTATCTTACATCACGTGCGTTTGATTCGATCCGTGTAAATATGATAAACTCATACCTGGAGCCAACGAACTAGTTACGCTGCCCTTAATCGTTTCTAAATTTTTCTCAATAAATACTTTATCCTTGAATTCAATGATTATTTCGTAAATTGTCCAAGTATTATGTGCATTAAATTGTTTATGATAAAAAAATTAGAACCATTGACAGTAGAAAAAACGATGTATAATAAACCTAAGTATTCGACGGCAGTGGCAAAGTCTAATGATAATTCTTTACAGGTGAAATTAATATTATCTTTAAAATAGGACTTGGGATTACCAAAATAATTTTCTTGGCAATTGAAAGGGGTTTCATAAGTGTGCGTTAGCATAGAATCCATAATTTAGAGTATAAAATATGATGAAGAATCAACTGCTTATTTATAAAATATTTTCTTAAGCTTGAGGCCATTTTAATACACAATAAAAGATTGTTGTTATATTTTATTAAAACGCGTAAGTTGATCTCAATCTGAATCACCTTTAAATCCAATGAGCTATCCATATTAAGAAATAGCCGAAGGGATTAGATTTTGTTTCTTGCTTTGGATTGCAAAGCATCTATAATATGTATGTATTTTATTATTTGTTATTTGTAATACGGATCGAATCGAATTAATGGTAACGGGATCGTCAAATGTGATACGGATTGGATATGATATCATTGATTTTTTATAGTACCATCCCCAGCACATAAAGCACAAAATTATTACGCAATGCATATAATAAGCTTACCTGAAGAAATCATCTTAACATGGTTTAATCACTTCAAGATTATATCCCAATTAAATGAGATTGCAAATAATTATTTGGTACATCGTTAATTTGCCGAAAACAACAAATTAATTGTTTTATAAAGTTAGTCCGAAAAGCGTCTCACATATTTAAACGTAAATTTTTTTGTATTAAGAAAAACTTAATATCATGTGTGATTTTAATGATTTGATAAGCATAAATGATTGATTTATATAATTGCGGCGTTTAGAATTTAAGATTTACCTGTTGCTTTATTTTGATAAAAAATTTTTTTGTACTTAACATAATTATGAAAAGGAAAGTTAGGAAATGGGATTTTCAAAAGTTAATCGTTATCACGTTGCATTTACCGAAAGTTTTTTTTTTATAAAGATAGTGTAAAATATGTAAAATGAAAAGTTTTAATATATTTTGATGAACCTGCTTGAACTTGTTAATCTAATAATTTTTGATTAGCTTGATGACAAGAATCACTGAATCTTTTTTAGAATCTCATATTACAAGAAAAGGCCAGTCTGATAATATACAAGCAAATTTCCTAGTACTTTAAAGGGGTAGCACCATTAATACTAATTTGTTATAAAAAAAATTATTTACTATTTAAATTATAAAATAATTTTTTTTTATAATTATATTTTACTATTTATCTATTTAATTATTGATTAGAATATTTAAGAAGATACTTATTTTAAATATGCTTATTTTTTCATTTTAAATTTCATAAAAAAATATCCTTTTTTATTAAATTATATTTATCTAACTATAATAAAATCTAAATGTTTAAATATGCAGACACACGGAGCTGGTCACATTTTATTAAGAAATTAGACAATAATATATGATATTTCGTGTTCGGCTAACCTTTTTTTTAAAAGCTATTTTCTCACGGGATAGCCGATAATATCCGAGACCACTTATAAAGGTTCAGAAAAGCACAAATAAATATTTTATGGGTAAAATAATTGTGCCGCTGTTTTGAGAACACGAACGTAGCGATAAAAATTTCAATGTTTCGATCTGCATCAAAGAATTAATAAATAAAAAAAGAAAATTATCATTAATTTATCCGGAATTCTTTTATTATAACTACTTTTATATTAATAAGTTTTTTTATTTTGTTTAGTATACAGATGTCTGGAATCGAACAGAAAATAAAATTATTTACAATTAAAGTTTAAAAGTTTAAAATCTTCAAGATTTAAATAAGAATATAAAAATTTTGAAAAAATAACTTTTTTTTTTTAATAAGTAATCAACAAGATATAAAATAATCAAAAATAGAATTCTATAAATTATGTCCAAGTTCTATGCAAATATCCAGTATTTCTTTGCCATTAGACGACCGTTATGAATGAAATCTCCTTTGAGTTATGAGTTTCCCGGTAGAATTTAACGCAAACATAGAATCAAAGATCCCCATTTTATTATTCCTAAATAACCATTTTTTTTGAATATCCGCTATTCCAAATAACCAGGATTTATTTCTTTGGATTTAAGCAACTGTTATTAATGTATATATTTCTCATATATTCTCCATTGAGTTTCCCGGTAGAATTTAAAGCAAGATAAGATCCTCATTTATTATTACAAAGAATTTCTCAAGGTGTTTGCAATTCCAAATGAGAAGTGTTTAGAGAGTAAGTTTCCGATAAAATTTAAAACAAAATATAGAATAAAGATCCTCGTTATATCATTTCATTTGATTTTATTCGCAATTAGAAAGTACGCTATGTCAGAATAACCGGTATTTAGGCGGTTGTTATGAGTGGAAAAATTAATTCGGTATTGCTTTTTGAGTGTCCGCGTATAATTTCAAAGATATTTTATCATTATCAGACACGACGCATGGTTTGTATGGTCTGTCTATGAATGAGAATTCAATCATATTTATATTGAATTGAATTTCAAAACTAACTTCTTGAGTATGATTATTAATCTTTTCATCAGACATAATTTCAAATATGTGAATTTGTTACGATGAATTTGATACTTTGAGTAAAAATTATTTAGAAGATATTTATTTAAAAAAAAAATTAAGTATGCAACAATGTCGATCTATTTAAGTTAAATATATTTTTTTTTATGTTTGTCTGTGTATTCACACATGAGAATCCAATTCATAAATAAACCGACCTGATAAAATACGAATCAATTATAATCATTCATGAAACCCAAAATTTTGATTAATTCAAACAATCCAATCTGAATACATAAAATCCTGATAAAATTTTATGCTTCTCAAACCGATTTCCTATTTAATCCAAATTTAATCCATTTTGAATTGGATTGGATTTAAAAGTTTGATACACAAGAATATCATCCAGATTGACAGAGAAAAAAAATTGTGAATTGGATTACTACAATGCAGATTATGTATCACCGCATTTAATTGTAACATATGTACTTTATAAATACTGTTTTAGTTAAATACAAAATTATTTAAATACTCATTGATAAAACAATCGTGGTTATAATTTGTGTAAAATAAATATATATATGTGATTTCAACTGTCAGATGATTTTTAAAATGATATCATGTAAATCCAATCCGTATTACAATCAATGGTTTCAATAATTCGATTTTTTTTATCACTCCATCTGTATTACTCTATTCAAGTCCTATTTTAGTACAAATCCTCAACATTGTGTGAATCCGAATCCGAATCCGACAATCGCATTGCCGTAAATTAAATCAAATTAACCCTCATAAAACGATTTATCCGGATTACCATTATTTTTTTTCAATTCAATCCGTATTACGTAGCACATCATAATTTATGAAAAAAAAATACGAAGCCTTTATGATGCTTTTGCAATCCAAAGCAAACGGGAATGGAAACAATATATAATCTCTTCGACTATTTCCAAATATGGATAAGTAATTTGATTTGGATTAAGAATCTACGCATTTCGATTCGATTATTATCTTATAGAATAATAAATAAAAGATAACAAACTTTATTGTCTAATAAATGACCTCAAGCTCAAAAAAACTAATTTCCAATTTCTTATAAATAAGCAGCTTGGATTCTTTATCGTATCCTATACCATATAAACAATGAGCTCAATGTACACTTATATTGGTAAACCCGTGTCTTTTTGTAAAAATGATATTAGTTTCACCTGTAAGGAAATATCATTAGACTTAACCACTGCAGCTGAAATTTTGAACTTATTAGACATCGTTATTATTACTGATCATGGTTATATACTTTATCATCAACAACCCGATACACTAATTACTTCGAAAATTTACGAAATAATGCCTGAATTCAAGAATGAACAAAATTCGCAAAAGTTTTTAGAGAAAAGCCAAGAATCGATTAAAGAGTGCTTAACTCGCTGGTTGACACCAGGTATGATAACCTCTAATACCAATACATATATATAATAAAAAATTAACCTTGATAGATAGTTGGCCTAGATTTAAACATGTTTGGTAATCAAAAAATTATTTTATTTTTTTTTTTTTACAAAATACCTTTAGTGGTGAAATGGAAGGATAGTCATACTTCACTTTTGCTTGAATATTTGGCTGCTCATAAGGAAAAGGTTTTACTACTAGAAAGACGCGGTTCTGCAGCTAAGAAAGTGAGATCGACTCTCTGGAATGGAGCTTCGATTTTTTTACGAGAAAAAGATTGCTTTCGCCTACCTTTTCAATGTGAATATAAGTGGAAGAATTTAATGCAGGCTTATAATGTAAAATTATTTCTTAAAAAAATCAAAAGACTTAAAAGGTTAATTCTAAAATTCTAATAATTGAATGTTTAATTTAGAATAATGATCATATTTGGTGTAGATCACAAATTGAAGCAATTATTGGCAGAAAACATCATCTGACTGTTAATTATTACATTAAAAGACAAAACTCGTTGGAATCAGTTGAGTCTGATTTAGATTCTATTCCTGAAACTAGAAATCGTAAGTATGTTTATTAATTGTCAGACATTAAATTATTATATTCAGATAAATTTATGACAAAATTCCTTTTTTCAACATTTTAGATAGATGGTTATACCGAATATAACGAAAACAACCTTAGTATATCATGATTAATTGTTTCAAATAATTCATATTACAGTCAAATCTCTATATAACTATATGTCGGGACATATATGAAAATATTTAAAAAAATATCGTTATATCAAATAATACCGACCTCGAATATAGTAGGTAAATAAAATTTTTATCGGTATATTATATAGAATATCTGTATATGAAGGTCCGACTGTATTCATATTATTATTCATTCATTCATTTCATTATTTCATATTTAATTTGGTTTGGGTCATTACGATAAATAGTTTTTAAACTGTAGAACTTCTGATGTTTAATTTCTAATCCGATCGTATTTTTGCTATAACGAACATATATAAAAGTTTCATTTGAATTGGTTTATCAATAACCTCACTTCTTTTTTTTTCGTTTGGAGCCAATAATGTCTCAAAAATTAATTAATATTATTCTTTATTATAAATAAATAAAAAAAATAAAAAAACAAATTTTTTTTTTATGTTGATATCTTACCGGACGTAAATGAATTCACGAGTAATGCATCAGTAAATTCTCTCAATATGACAATAAAATAATATAGTCGCATCTTTTGATGGTTATCCCTAAGATTACATTTTAAACCTAATGACATAGTTTAGTTTATTATGCATAAAGTCAATCACATACATACGAAAAAGGCAACCACATAAAGTAAGATTTCATGATTTAGAAAAAAAGTATCATTCATTTATAAGTTTCTTCATTAGTTCATGTCGTATAAATTTTTTCTTTCACTATTATGAAACTTACCCTATAAAATTAACAAGATGAATTCTTTACTTTTTTGATTTTTAAAAATCATGAGAATAATTAAACGAGGGGTTATCCATATGACACATCGAAACAGGAAATTTCATCTGGATTCAAATGATAAATGAAACTTCCGCCGCAGAATCAAATTTGAAAATATTTTCTCAAACTTTCAATATAAATAATGGGATATATCTGTGCTTTGAAAGTCGCTCTTTACTATATACTTCCATTAAGACATGACTAAAACTTATAAGATCGAAGTAATGTTATTTATGTGGGGGGATTGATGCCATATGCTTTAATTATATTACAGATTGTAACAAATCATTGGCTCTGAACATATTCTTTCAGTACCTTAATATTCTAATCATCTCCTGAAATTTACTCTATTCTGAGATATTATCTCCGAGCACGATGATGGTATGATAAAAAGGTAAAACAATACTTTTTAATCATTTGGATTGAATTAAATGGTTGGATAAAGGTTGTTTAGATTGGATTTATTTTATTATCAATCTGGAACCCGTGAATGTTTTATTTGAGAAGTAAACAAATTCGCGTTGAAAATCTTAAACTTTAATTTGATTACAACAACATAATTTACCATGAAGCCATGCGTATTGTTTTCAATATTTATCTCTTTTGAATTCTTTTTAAATCAAAACTTTTTTCCGCGGTTATCTTTAATAAATGTTTTTTATAAATATTTCATTTATTTTGATGGTAGGGTAATTCTAAATCATGAATTCATTTCGAATCCCATATACTGAGGGAGTTTATCCTTCATCCACTTCCTCCTTTCAGGCTGTCAATTTAACATGTGAGAATGGATTTAACATGGTTCATGAGCCTCACAACTTTTTTCTACTATATGGATACTCTATTCCAATGGTATCTTCTTCACAATCTGCACAGGGATCTTCAACTAATTATCAAGAAGTTAATTTTATAAATGAACCCTTGTGCTTTTATAATAATGATTTTCATATCATTTGCAAAGAAATATTACCATCATCATTATGTCTTGACCAAGCAGCAGAAATTTTAAACATTAATATTCATAATCCCGTTCGAAATAACAGGAATTTTTATAAATTTTATTATAAACAACCTGATACTCTGAAAATTTATGAAGTCATTTGTAAAATGCTCAAATTCTGCAAGTTTGACAATCAGCAGCAAGAATTTTCCAAAAAAGATCAAAAAAGTATCAAATTTTGTTTAACTAATTATTTGGGTCCGATCACACAAGGTATGACAATGCACTATTTTATGTTCGATTAGAGTTCGATTTAAACCCCATTTTTTTTAAAAAATTAATAATAGACAAAGAAAAGACGCATTCCTGTAAATGGAAAGAAGAAGCTATTAAGCAATTACTGTTTTTTCTGGAAAAAAATAAGGGGAAAATTAATCAACTAGTAACAAAACGTGGTGGTAGTGGTAATATTAAATCGGAACTTTGGATGAGAGCTTCTATTTTGCTATTTCGTAAAGGCTACAATTATTCTGCAAAGCAATGTGAGATTAAATGGAAAAATATTAAGAAGCTTTCCAAGGTAAATTTTTTTATTAATAATAATAAATCTAAAAAAAAATCTAATCATTTAATTGTATCGTCTATTTAATTTAGAATAATCCCAAATCTCTATATAAGTTGGAAGTTGAAAAAATCCTGCATTAAAACGGGTTAAAAATTATATTTGAAAAGCAAACTAATATCACATGACATGATTACTACTATTAATGATAAACATACTTACTTTGTGCTGTGCTAAATTTCACAGGATTGTATTTCGGGATACGTATTGGATTCGTGTAACGTCTAAATGTTTTTTTAAACAATATCCACTTATTTATTATCATTATAAAAAAGTTTTTTTTTTTGTGAAAAGCGGTTAATCAATTATATTGGGAATCAAGTCACGAGATATAGTCAGTACAGTTAGTATATCATAATTAATATAAAAATTAGTACACACAAAATTCCAAACCCTGGATATAGTTAATCATATGATCCGTAATATGATGTTGGTTGGTCAAAACCGGTTATAGTTAGCTCTTTTCCTTAAACGTTCTGCATGTTTTTCGACCATAGAGAGATCTTTGCGCAAATAAGCAATAAGATTTATGCATGTCAATTCAAAAATATTTAATATTCGGGGTAAAAATATTTTTTTTTTCAAAAAAATTCAACATATATAATTAGCATATAACATGTAAACAGAGTTTTAATTTATAATCAAATCTTTAACATATAATAAATATTATAACTAAATTATATGAAAGTATTAGAAGTATAAAAAAAATATTTAACAATTTAATAAAAATTCAATGGGGGAACATTGAAATAATGTGATATTAATTAGTATACGGTATGTATAATTTTACAGTATGTTCTATTTCAAAAATTTATACCTTATGTAATATGTACAATGATGTTCAATGAAAATTGAATAGGATCCATATAAATCATAATAGCGGAGCGGAGAATCTTTATACGCTGGCTGGATTGGAATTAGAATACTCAATGACTTCAAATTAAATAAATTAAATATTACTTGTAATTTTGAAGAAAGCATCACGATGAATACTTGATCATTTTTATTGTTAAATAAATAAATAATAAATGATTAATATGATTAATATGAATTATTACTCAATTAATGTGAGATACTACTAAGACCTAGGGTGTGTGCTTTCGTTACGATATCCAAATGGAAATTTTCCATCACATAAGCTGTATTATTCTCGAACAGGATATTTTGGGGATGATTCTCTATCCAACAAATGTTACCTTGAAAACAAAGGAATTTTGTCAATACAGATTAACCGTTATAAAAATTAATATCGTCAAAATTAAAGTACACTTACTATTACTAGTTTGACATGCCGAAATTAAATCAGGAACAGGATATTCTAAATCCGACTGAATAAATTCATCTGATTCAACCGAATTTTGTCGTTTAATG